CATAAAAGATTATACAATGAAAGTTTATACACAACCTGCGCACACTCCTACCTGATCGATTTGTCGTTGACGTCGTTCTTGTTCTTCCTTTTGCACTCGAAGCAGCTCTTCTTCCCGCTCTCTGTAAATGGTTTAATTAATAATTTTGTCAAAATTCTCAATTGAACAATGAACATCGTTTCGAATACTCAGCATCGATTTTTTTCTGAAAAATTTGCCAAGAAAAGTAGCAGCTGTTTAGTATATTAATGATACGAGAAATTAGTCCTCGGAAAACAATTATTTTTCATGTAGCTTTTGATGATGTTATATTTAAGTAAAAGTGCCTTGGCCGATGTCTTGTTGGGTGCGAAAGTATTCAAAACAAGTTGCGCGATGGGTTCGGTGACGCAAGAATGTCAGATGGGTAAAAGAGAATTTGAAGGTCGAAATTTAGTCGTGATCGATACACCAGGATTGTTTGATACAGACAAAGATTCATTTTCGGTAGCCTACGAAATAAGTAAAGCAGTGGGTATCAGTGCTCCCGGACCGCATGCATTCATCATTGTTATTAAAGCTAGTGGTAGTCGGTACACACGTGAGGCTGAAGAAACAGTGAAACTTGTTCACGATATTTTTGGTGGTGACGTTGTTCGTTATTGCATCGTTGTTTTCACTGGTGAGGATAATATACATCGAGATGACTCAACAGCTACACTCGATCAATGGCTAGCTCAATCGACTGATTCGGTTATTAGCCTCGTTCAAGCTTGTAATGTCGTTGTATGGCCATTGATACGACGGAGAAATCAAAGGAACAACTTGATAATAAAGTGCGGGAGCTCATGTCCCTAGTGAATCGCATGGTTCACGAAAATGGCGAACGAGTATATACAAATGAAATGTTAGAAAGAGCCGAACAGGCTTACAGAGAGCGGGAAGAAGAGCTGCTTCGAGTGCAGATCACAATCCAAGAGTTATGGAATTGAAGATGATAAAAATGATTGTGGTTCGTAAAATGATTGACAGATTTTTTCATTCCCACAAGAGTCAACATTTGAAACTTATATCATCGATCAGCATTCCACTCTAATAACAAGAACAAAGTGATTATATCCTAGACAAAATTCTACACACTTCCTGTCTATTTCTTACTAGAATTTTACAGGATCCCAACATTTAAGATCCACCTAATAACTTTTTAACAAGGTCCTAGAATGCTACGATCCGTCTAGGATTTCGCTTAAACTTGTTTAGGATCCTAAGAGAATCTTAGAAAATCCTATCACTTTCGAGAATATCTTATTTCATTAGGGTTCTGTAGGATTTTGTTAGGATCCTAAGAAATTAAAGCAAAATCCTAGTAGGATATTGGTAGGATATGTCTCGGATCCTGTCAAGAAACTCATAGGAATTTTACTAGGATATCCTTGAACCATAAATCATTTGCATTTTAGTAAGTCAATAGTAAAATGAGATTTGACAGGGCTTATCTGTATCTAAATGAGCTGAGATCTCTGTAGTGATTAACATGCACTGAAGGCTACTTTTATACTACTTTCAAATTCCCTAAGCTATTATTTTTTTGTCCAGTTACAGAGTGATCTTACCCTTCGGAGTAATGTAAGATGTATATTTGTATCGCAGCGATGTTTACCCTCGACATCTTAAAATACGGCTTTTAATTGATAGCAGTGGGTATGCAATGTTTTCTTGTCTCTATCTTATCTCGATAGGTAAAGCTCATCATTTTTAAATCATGTGCAATTGACACCTGTCTGTAAAGTGTTATATATCCATTCTCACATACGTTTATTCTCACTTTTCATTACGACAAGAGGATTGAATCAAAAAAAGAGAAGTGTAACGCCAACACATAAAAGCATGAGTATAAGTTCTTATCCTTTCTTATTTCTGCGTTTGATTTCTGAACCTGTAAATGTTCTTTTCTTTTTTTTGTTATTTCTGTTTTTGACTGCAAACAACCACGAGACATATTTTCACAGCTTTTTGTCACCCGTGAAATGTTTTTGCCAGTGTTGCCACACGATAGAAAGCATTACCCTTTTCAGAATTGGACTTAACGCTCACTAATCTGCTCAACAGTTAATGGATTAATACGCATTACTATTTTTACCATGCACCAACGCGTTCTAAAAACTTACTTCCAAACAACTTTTTGGTACTTTCACCTCGTTCGAATGTGTGATAACTGATGGTGATGTGCTCACATTCTAAATCGAACACGTTGAGATGAGATAGAAGTACAAAAATAATTTCCGTAACTTAAATTGTACAAACTGATTGAAGTATCCGTATGACCTTTAATTAAGTGGCTTTCTGTCGTATATGTTGGTAACATGTTATCAAAATAGGTTTAAGTTATCATATTGAAATGATTAAAGAACAACTTACAGATGTTCTGAATTTTGATATCAAATTAAAGGACAATAGTTCATCATTTTTTGGAGTTTCTGAAAAACTGGTTTTCCAGAAGACCGGATCTTCGAAGGGCTAAGCGGAACTCCCATATTCATATTCGGAATCAGCATGATCGATAACCTATAATCCACTAGATTTCGATTAAAAAGCGATTGAACACTTGGGAACGTTCCCTCGTAAGTTATATGTTTAAGACTTAAATAATAATGTGTCGTATATATTCGTGTCGCGTAAATGGATCTATACCTGCTAATAACGAAAGATATTTCACAGAAAAGCATTGACACTCCACACATACCGTTGAACGGTTGAGTTTAATTAATGTACATAAAACTTACAAACACGTTCTTTTATTTTGATACACCACCCATGGTTAAAGGTTGTTCCTACGGATGTTAACAATATTCTGCACGCTAGTATTTTCCAGATTCGTTTCTATAAGTGTCAATTTGAATACGCTTTTTAACTTTCAACTAAACCTCTTTCGATAATAATTTGAAATCAATGTTCTAGATACGATTCAGTTCGTCAGCCAAGGTATTATTTACTATTTTTCCAGAATTAAATAACAACAATCGTAAGATTTACTGAGTAGGTTTTTATGTGTGTGTGTGTGTGTCTATATGTGTGCAAATATCAGTTCAAATCGAAGAAGAGAAGAAAATATAGTATTTAATGCGTTTCTTTTTAGAGAGGGAGTTTTTTTAATGTTTTAATATTCCATTCTGGACACTGATATTTTCCAGTTTGGCTATTTGAATACGCTTCAGCTAAAACTCTTTCCGTAATAATTTGAAATCCATGTTCATGATAAGACTCAGTTCATCAATCAAGTTATTTTGGGGAACTTTGTAGTGAAGAGTTGACATACTGGCTTTCCGTTTCTTTTTTAACCCTTCCTCCCCTAGTAGATCTAGTACTTACCTTAAAACGCACCATTATTCAACTTAACAGGCATTGGTATTCATCTTAAAGTAAGGCGGACCAAATTCAAACCTCCCAGGCCATTTTATTTTTGGCTTAGGTATACATCAATCGATAGAGATCGACAAACTGATCAAGGATATCTACGTTCTAACTTCAAAAAAATTAGTTTCTCAATGAAAAATCTTCAAAATACTTGAAGGGTCTAAAATTTCGAAAAATACTTCGGCTTCAAAAGAATTCGAGTTATGTTCTTTTTCATTCTTCTCACCTTTCAAAAATATTTTTTTAGATTCAGCATTAAAACCTGAGTATGAGAATGATGCTTGATTGAGGTTGACATCAATGGTCTATCTAATATGGACTTCCCCTATAAAAAGTTCCTAAACAATTTTGCACACATATCTAGTATTTTGTGTGAAGAGATGAAGCCAGCTCTTACACTCCATTAGAACCGCCATTAAATAAGCTTTAAAAGTACGTTCTGTGTTTTTTGAAATCCTCTCCACTAATGAGAAATTTCCGTTTTTCTAAATCAGGAGCGAAAAAATCGGAATTGTAAAACCGTAATTCTCAATTCTCTTATTTGTACTAGAACTTACTTGTTATGCAATAAAAGTATCATGTTCGGAGTCAGCGTCGAAAACCAAGTTGAGTGATATATGTTTTTGAAAGTTTTCGTTGATATTGAATTTTTGGTGAAAATTTCAGTAATATTTCGACGTGAAAATGAGACAACAAAGTGCTCCGAAAGGATGAAGAGATACATCATTCGGCTCAGTTTTCGACGCTGACTCCAAATACGATACTTTTATTGTGAGTTCTGCCGGAGAAAAGGTTCTTGTATCTAAATGCTTGTACGAACCTAAAATTTTTATATTCGTTTTCAATGTGCAAGAATCCAAGAGCCTTAGAACAGAGCTTTAGGTTCCTGGGCTCTTCCCATCTTGAAAACGAGTCTAAACTTTTAGTTTCATACGAATATTTAGATACAAGAATCTTTTCTCCTAGTATATTTTATACCGAGGTTCTTGGGTTCTTATATGTTGAAAACGAATCGAAAAATCTTAGGTTCGTACGAACATGTAGATACAAGACAAGAACCTTTTCTCCTAGTACGAGCCTAAAATTTAAAAAATTAGCAAACGATGGAAAACCGTTTGTTCGCTATACAAAATAGTGTGCCAAATGGTTGAGATGCAATTTCTTCAATCTTGCTCTTTCTAATAGCGGTGGCTTATTACTACTAGTCTTACTAGTAAGAAAGTAACAAAATAAAACACGTCGTTACTTTTAATACGATAATATAGTTTGGAGAGATTTGTAGTCAGAGTAAGAATCTGCATCTGTCGCCGTATCTGAGATAGAATAAAGAAACTCTTTTCAGTCTCGAAAAATTGCGCGCGTAGTAAGGGTCAGTTCAAGTTCGTAGGCTTGAGCTTTTCTGTAAGGAAAAAGCGGTTGTAAAACAAAATTTCTAAAAACTTGTGTGTCTAATTCTTTTCGTCAAATTAAAACTGGAAAAAGTTTATTATCCAAAGATACAACTTCTCTAAAACTCTGGACCAGAAACTCTTTAATCATTTTGCAGTCAACCTCACTGTTGAGGTGTCGCTGGCAACAATGAGGTAGAGTAAATATATGAAAAAAATCTCCTGTACCACAGGAGTAAATCATGGAACTCCTGATTGGTTAAGTATTCTCTTTAAGATACAAATACACTGTTTTTCCATTAATTTTTTTCCGGTCGAAATCAATAGCATGAATAGCCGTAATAAATAATATTTATTTGCAACAGATCTCATTGCATAAAATTTTGCCACAGAAAAGATAGCTTCTGACGACTAAAGCCTATGACGTCATCGACCATGCCGGTAGGTTCACCACCAGCATCAACAAAATTTACTTCAATGCTTATAACTAAAGATTTCAAAAAAGGCTTTTTAGTCATTTTCACCTACTCAGGGTCCTTACAGAAAATTAGGTTTCTCATTATTATCCAAGCAAACGAACTCGGTCGTATTAGAAGTAGGAAAGGATAAAGGCCAAACGTGACAGATAATAGGTCGGATATCTACCATTCATGTGAGACTGAATGATATCAGCTATTGAAATTAATAAAAGCATAAAAAGTTGGACAAAAGATCGACGCATTTTTTCTTTTAGTACGTTCATTCTAGTTTTGCGCTTCATGTTTGCCTCCTTGTATTATCTTGACTAGCAGCAATACATTAATTTAAATTTTCCTCTATTCTTCTTCGCTTTTGTTACTTCCATTCTCTGAATTTCAACCGTGGATCAGCTTTCAGACGTTGTGATCGACATCCTCTCGTTTTTGTAGACAATTCTAATTGCCAAACATTCGAGTAAACGACCGTGTTTCATCTTATTCAACACTTAAACAACTTGTGCAAATAAAATGACAGTGCCATTTCCCGATTTTCCAGAATCTGTACCTACCGCTCCACTAGTTGTAATCGATTACAATCTTCTTGTTCAGAAAGATCCTGAAGAACTTAACAGGCTTTTCAAAGCTTCTACGGATCTAGGATTCTTCTACCTCAAAGTAGGCGCTCAACTCGATCCAATTCCAATCTTTACGCTCGCCGAATCAGTCTTTGGGCAGTCATTAGACACCAAAATGAAATACGCAATGGATGGAAAGAATGGAGTCTATTTCGGGTACAAGGCTGTTGGATCCACGTACACCGACAAAAAAGGTACGCCAGATATGATCGAATTTTGGAACATTGCAAAGGATGAGATCCTCATGCAAGACGCGACTGACCATCCTAAGCCCATCCTCGACGCTAAAGAAGTCCTGAAACAGTTCATAATTAAGTCCCACGATATCGTACTTGTCATTCTCGAAATATTGTCAACAAAGCTGGGCCTGGATCCACATGCTCTTCCCGACTTGCACCGCTTGACACATCCAAGCGGCGATCAGTTGAGATTAACAAAGTCCATTATATGTCCTTTCCAACAGCAACTTTCGCCGCATGTGGCTTTGGGCGCGCACACCGACTTCGGGTCAGTGACTATTCTGTTCAATCGACTCGGAGGCTTGCAGGTCTTGAAACCGGATGGGGAATGGACATACGTGCGCCCGCTGCCCGATCACGCTATTGTCAATCTTGGCGATGCCATGGTCAAACTTTCTAACGGTCTCTTAAAATCGAACATCCATCGTGTCGTGGCGCCACCTTGGCTCAGTGTAGAAGACGAAGTGGTCGATCGGTTTAGTGTGGTTTACTTTTCAAGACCCGAGAACGATGTTCATATGACGAGTCTTCTAGGTCATGGGGAACAAGAGCAAGACGCAGATCATGTGCTAACGGCCCAAGAATGGATCGCGAGAAGAGTCAAAAATTTTCAAACAGCAAATTACAAAGATGAGACGTCGTACGAGATGCGTAAAGGGACAGAAGGAAATCGTGATGATGGTGTTTATGTATAAGAGTTTCACTTGACTTTTAAATGAGGCTTTGGACATTTTAAAATATTTGCATATTTTTCAATAAATTTAATATCTTCTAATACTTTTTTACAATATTAAATAATTAAGATGTAGCACGTAAAATAGCTGATTTCGAGCACAGTGTCGCACAACTTTGAAACAAAAGTAGATCTCTGTCTGATGTTTCTGCTAATAAATCACCGTAACATTCCTGTATTATAACTTCTTTAAAATATTAGTGGCATAATTCAATGTTTGTATGACATTTATTGTAGTGATTGTATTGATTAATAGTGTTGAATGAACTATAATCTGTGATTCAACCGTCGCTGATTAAATTAGTTTCTGAAAAAATCATTACATTTACGAGGAAAGGTCCTAAAGTGTACAATCGCCTTTTGCTTGAACACTAGTGGACAATAGATACTCGACTGCGCTATACCCGAACCTGACATCGGTTTGTACTGCTAGGCCTCCAGAGACTGGGTTTCTGGCAAAACAGGTTCAGAAGGTCATGAAAATAGGTTTAAGTTATCATACTGAAATGATTAAAGAACAACTTAAAGGTGTTCTGAATTTTGATATCAAATTAAAGGACAATAGTTCTAAATCAAGTGGATTTATTTATAGCGATAACAAATTAAATTCTTTAATCGATATTGATTTTTAAATATTGGTAATTGAACATAATCCAACAAATGATATTATTAATACTACACTAAGACTAATGAATAATTTAGACATAGATTGTAACGCAATAAATTATGAATCAATAAGCTAACAATGGAAAATTTAAATCGTTTAGTTCAAAATTGTTATTTTCAATTTAAATTCAGCATAAGATTTTATTCATATGATACTTTAAATGAAAATCTATGTTTAAAGCACAATGCAAAATTAAAGCAAAATTTTGTTTTTGAACGTATTATAATCGTTGGAGACATCATTTCGAACTGAATACCAAAATGTATTTTTTACTTTCTAAAAAGACTTTTTGAGGGTGAAAAACTGAAAATACTTGAAGGGCCTAAAAAGTCGAAAAATTCTTCAAGTTCAAAAAAGCTTATTATCTACGTTCTAGGCAACTATACAAATTTCAAAATGTTTTTCGTGTTCAGTATTGAAAACTGAATAGAACAAACAATAGTGTTTGATCAATTCCAAACTTAAAAGCTTATTCAGCATGGACGTTCCAACCACACCATCTAAAATGCGGACAAGTGATTTTGTAAGCCTATCTAGTTGTTCGCGTTGGGGGCTGAAAAACGCCGTGATTTGCATGTCATTAGTTTGGATGAAAGTTTGATTTCAAAAGTATGACTTTTTAGAATTTTCCTTCATTGCTGAGAAAGTTCGTTTTTTCTGAATCAGAGGCGAGAGAGTGAGAATTCTGCTTATAATTTTCAATTTTCGCAATCAGGACTCAACTTTTCTACAATGAAAATATCATATCCGAAATCTAGATCAAAAACTGAGTCGACTAATCTGTATTTCTAGACTATTCGACTGCTTTATTTTTTTCGAGTTTTCACATTGAAAATTACCAAGAATTTCACCTGAAACTGAAAATCATCTAAAAATTTCGATCTACAGATTAATCGACTCAGTTTTTGATTCTGATTCCGAATATGATATTTTTATTGCTTAAAAATTGAAAATTATAAGCAGAATTCTCACTCTCTCGCCTCT